ATATATATATATATATATATATATATAAGATTTGGGGATTAAAATTCTTACATATGTGTAAAAATTATAATTTATACTAATCTTTAAATTACGACGATCGTCTTATTTGCATGAGTTACAATTATATCTCTTATAATTATATATTTTATATTCAATACGCGAAAATTACAAACGAATGGACAACGCTACTTACGAAACTCGTATTACTCGTACAACTGCGTCCGTTAATCTATCAGGGGACAATTTTCTAAAAATTGTCTGTTAAAGGAAAAACGGGAATATTCGCGTTTCGTCGAAACTGGTTGAAGCCAGTTGAAACGTTCTCGGAGGCCGCAGCGACGTTCTTCCTGTCTGAACTTGGCCTACAGTTCCGTGCGCCTGCTACGTTCACAGCGATCAGTGTCGCGTCGTGCGTAGATGGTGACGGTTTGTCGGAAGCCGATTCTGCTGCCAGTGGGAAGTTTATAGAGGGAGTGTGGAAGTAGATTTGCGTGTAAATCTCTTCCTCGCACCCTAACTGGCGACTTGATCGAGAAAAGTGTAACGGACCATCGTTTGCGATTGTAATCACATATTATGGCGAATTTGAGACAAACTCCGCTTACGTGCAGTGGACACACGAGACCCGTGGTGCATCTTGCATTCTCCGACATCACCGAATCTGGATATTATTTAATTTCGGCGTGCAAAGGTAATTCGTTTTCGATTCGCCTGCCTCGAGGAGGAACTCGTCGTCGATTTGTATCGGGTCAATCGGTTTTGTTTTTTTTCTTTTTTTTTTTTCGTTTGCGATCGACACGTTCAGTTCTTGATCGCCTTGGCCTCGTTTCTTCGAAAACCAAGGTTTCATAAGTTACGGTTTTCGAGGTTAGACACTGTACGTTTGCGACGATACGAGAGTTTCCTGATGAATTTTCCTCCGAAACAAGTTCATGGATTACTTTGATTAATATATGTGTTAGCCTAATTGGATGAAAGTTTCTGTTCAAATTGTTTTATCAGAAAAACATTAAGTCAAGTGTTTTCCTTCATTTATTCCATACTGAATGAATTTCTAAAGTCAGAATGTTTCTGTGGAAGATTTATATTGAGAAGGGAATTCAATGTATTTTCAGATGGTAAACCTATGTTACGACAAGGTGATACTGGAGATTGGATTGGAACGTTTGAAGGACATAAAGGAGCAGTGTGGGGCGTTGCATTAAATCCTCAGGCTACAAGAGCTGCCTCTGGAGCAGCGGATTTCAATGCTAAAGTCTGGGACGCAATTAAAGGGGAAGAAATTCATTCATTTCAACATAAGCACATTGTCAAGTCTGTTAATTTCAGCACAGATTCCAATTATTTGTGCACTGGTTCTAACGAGAAGCTTGTGAGAATTTATGATCTTAACAAACCTGATGCAGCACCACAGGTATACATCTGTCAATAATAATTTACAAAAACTTGATGTTTAACATTGTCGTATTTAATCAATAACGTCAACAGGTTTTCTCAGGTCATAAAAATGGCATCAGACATGTCACCTTTTTCAATAACAATATTGCATTAATTACCTGTGGCGATGATAAGACACTGAGAGTTTGGGATAGAAACAGTGGTCAAGAAGTGAAAAGACTAGATTTTCCAGCAATTCCAAATTCTATGGAAGTGTCAAAAGATGGAAATATCATTACCACAACTCACTCCAATATAGTTACTTTTTGGAATAGCAGAGAGTATGTTCCTTTTTTTGTCATAACCTATATGTCAAATCTTAGAATACAAAAAAAAAAGATAGCAAAACAGGTTCAAGGTGATGTAATGTATCCTCTTGTGCATCAGTTAGTACTGATTAATATCCTGAACATGGATTTGCTACAGAACCTTCAAGTTAACCTTGGCCTGCTAGGAAGTACTTTCTAGTGTAATACTTTACATTTTAATGGGTTTCATATCTTTTATTCATGTTCCTTCATTATGTACCTACAGCACTTGAGGAAAATTGTAATTGTTTGTGCAGATTAACCAAATTATGTGAATACACCGCACCGACACAAATGAATAGCGCTAGTTTACATCCAGATTGTAGCATTTTTGTATGTGGCGGAGAAGATTTAAAAATGTACAAGTTTGACTATGCTACCGGTACAGAAATTGGTATGTTTACAATATAAGTGAATAATTATATTTCTTTGTAGTTCATGTATTTACAAGTATTTAAAATTACTTTCAGAATCATTCAAAGGTCACTTTGGACCTGTGCACTGTGTACGTTTCTCGCCGGATGGTGAATTGTACGCTAGTGGTTCAGAAGATGGTACCTTGAGATTATGGCAAACAACTGTTGGCAAAACATATGGTCTTTGGCGATGCATAGAACAAACGCCTGCAATACAAGAGAATACTGCTGTGCTTAATAACAAACAAGAAGTCCCTGCCAATTAAAAGTCTAACGATTTATAAATCGTGTGAAATACTTCCAGAAAAAAAGAAAAAAAAAGAAAGAAGGGGAAAAAACATTTCGTTAATAGAAATATGCAAATGAAGGAACAAAGGACGAATTTTCACGATGATTCGTATTGAAATTGTATTTAATCAGCTGATGTCTGCCACATGTTTTATAAATGTCAAATCTGTATGTAAAACAATATCTCAAATCAGCATTGTTTTCTAGTGAAAACTCAAAAGCGGACCAACTTTCATTATAGCCTGTTACAATGGTTATGGAAGTGTGGGACTCTGTTCTTTATTTATTATAGTGAAAAAAAAGGAAACATTAACATTTATTAACGTTATACATGTCACTATTATACTACAAAATTAGATAGAGGTGTAATGACAAAAAGAAAGACAATTCAGAATTAAATTTTGCGTTCGCATTTGTTATTTTCGCGTTATAATTACTATACAAGTACAAAAAACGGTTTCGACTGGCTCAAATGCCAGCGCAATTCTCTTGATACACATATCACTCATCCACCTATTAAAATATTCACTTGTGTATTCCTTTTGTCTAACTATCTCAAGTAGCGTGACAATTTATTTATTTGAAGTCCTCTTTTGTCTTCACACTGCGAGAATTACGTATTGCGAGATCACTGTACAATTTTTCCTTCAAACTGCCAATGACAGCTTTATTACGTAAGAGCACGTCGTGTACCGACCTCTTTACATTTTTGTTACCGAGTATTCGTCTTCTCGCATAAATTAAACACTCTCCTTACAATCTACAAAATATAATAATAACATAACAAGTAAAAAAGAAAAAGAGAGAAAGAAAACATGAGAAATACTTTCTTACAAAATGAGAAACAGTGCTGTCTTTTAAAACATAATACATAATATATGTGTATATATATAGTCGAATGCATAATACACGTGTGAACTTTTTAATTCTGGAACACTCTTCGCGGATGATTAGCATCGAAACATGTATGAGCTGGCAGTGACACGCGCGTTCATCGGTGATTCTTGTTTCGCGATTTCTGTACAGAGGGAATTGTTCGATCGTCAACGATGAGCGCAGCTCGTTACGTTGTACAGTCTCTTGAAGGAAGACAGTGAGTCTCTTGCGCGTGACAATTAATAAGCGATCAGTTATTCAGAAGAAGTCTTTTTGCTTTCTAAACGTTTCCTCTCTCCTTCTCTCAACCGATAAATTGCGAGAGATCGGGTAACTTGAAACCGTTGAACGAAACCGACGTCGGTACGCTTCTCAGGCTGTTCCTGTGTGGCACGAAACCGGGAAAACTGTTCGGCGTGGTGAACTGCTGAAGCCTCGAAGTCGGTTCTGTCGCTGCTAGAACAAAGCCGCACTGAGCCGTGCACACGTCGTCACGTAAAATCGCCTCTCGAGAAGCTTCGCGTAGAAGCTGATTACAATCGGTAATCCTCAAAGAAGCGCATTGAGTCTGAAAGTGAAGAAAAAAAAAATTTTTTTTTTTTCAGA